TGTTAAGAACAGGCTTGGAACTCTACCCAGCTACCAATTCACACACAAGGAATAAATGGAGATCTTTTAATTCCGTCTCCAGTAGTAACATGGGGAATTGATATGTCCCTCTGTAGGTTTTGCCATGTAACATCTGGCAAAGAAATTTTTAAAAATATAATTTTCATCTTTTTCTTTCTTAAATGCTTTCTTCTTAATTCAGTAATGAACTGGCGTGAATATTTTAAACAAACAGTTGCCCTTTAAGTTTGTGTAAAGATGTTGATTTTAATGTCTCAAGTTACAAAATTCTCTTTCCTTCATCACAAACATTTTGTTGATGTTCATATATTTTTAATTTTTTTTTTTTTTTAGTCCTGGATTCCTTCGATTTGTGAGAGTTTTGTGTGGTATGTCTTCGGATGAAAGAAAAGCATTTCTCCAGTTCACTACTGGCTGTTCAACACTCCCACCAGGAGGACTGGCTAACCTACACCCCCGGCTCACTGTTGTGCGCAAGGTATAGGCTCTTCAGGGTACCTCTCAACTTTAAGCTTTTTGCTTACAAAAAAACTACATCTGCCACATAAATAAATGTTAACCTTACATCAACACTCACTATTTTCTGTCAGCCTTTCAATGCCAAACTCCACTCCAGCTCTTCTCTGACTTTGTACTCTCATATATATTCTCATAAAAAGGAATTAAGGAAATGTGTATGTAAACTAAGTACACTTCAATCTCTCCTAGCCTTTTTCTGGTTGATACACCCATCCTTTGGCATCTCACTGTTTTATGTAGGAAGTAGAGCTGGGTGGGAAGCAGTTTTCCCATCTTGTGAAAATTTTCAGAGATTTCAAAAATTTTCCCTTTTTACATTGGGGCAAAACTGAAACCTTTTGAAATTTTTCATCAGAATTGAGAGAGAGACCAAGCGTGCGCACCATCCCAGAATATCCAGTAGCCCAGTGGGTGAGGAAATCACCCGATATGTGGGACACTCAGGTTCAAGTCCTTGCTCTTGCCGGATTTAAAGTAGGAACTTGAACCTGGATTTCTCACATCCCAGATGTGTATTCTAATCTTGGGCTGTTTGGTATTCTGGGGTGGGTTCCTCTCTCTCTCTCTCTCTGGGTTTGACTACACATTTCTGGACCTGGGAAACCTTTCCGAAGAGAGTTACACTGAAACGGATACGTTTCTGCAAAAAGTTTCAATTGTGGCAATTTGGAATTTGCCAAAAACAACAACAGAAATCTGTGAAAAAATTCCCAGCCAACTCTAGCATGAAGTAGATTTGTAAATTCAACAGAGGAGAAAGGACCTATGTATTTTTATCATATATGTATAATACAATAAACTATAGCAGTACATAAATAATATTCATCTTCCCTATTCTCAGGTTGATGCTACAGATGCAAGTTATCCATCTGTGAATACCTGTGTGCATTACCTTAAATTGCCTGAGTATTCCTCTGAGGAGATTATGAGGGAGCGCCTGCTAGCTGCTACTATGGAAAAAGGCTTTCATCTCAATTGAATTGCTCTGTGCAACATGGGACATGAGAAACTGTCTATGATATTAGTGAAGCCTCTTGTGTTTGTGTGCAGAAAATATGATCTCCACGCTGTGCTCTGATGAGACTTACCTTTTTTCCACCTGTGAGGCTTTAGGAACACATGGAAAAAGTTTGTTAGCTGCTAATGACAAAACAAATCCCTGTAACTACACAGCCAGCAAGTAAATGGCACAGAACACTGTGTGATGCTTCAAGGGCTTGCACGACTGGAAATTAAGGTGGTTCTCTTTGACTGTTCCAAAGAGCAGATCTTCAGATTTTCAGTGTTCACTGATATCAATTTCTAAGTGTATTTGTGTAAAGTTTGTCATTTAATACCTTGTACACTACAGTTGCCATCACTGATCCCTGTTTTGCTGGCTTTAAACTAACTGGTCAAAAACTTGCTTCCTTAAATCTTAGAGTTAATGGGCATCACAAGCTTTTTCTTTCTTTCTTTTTAATGGTGCCTGCACTATTGGAGTATTCTAGTGTTGTTTTTTCTTTTTGGGGGGGGAGGGGGGGTTGTTTGTTTTTTGCATATAATCATGCACAACTTTTTTTTTCCTTTCAACTGGGAATATATTTTGATTTCTTAAATGCCCTGCTATAAAGATCAAATCCTTAAGTGTGTTAGTGCAGCTCAACAATAAAGCTATTAAAAAAACAAAACAAAACACTGGTTTCTGGTGCAAGGCACACTTAAAGCAAGTTTTACTTTTGGTTGTACTTTCCTTGTATATTATAAACATTTATTTAACTTGTTGCAGTTTGAAATTTAAAAAAATTTCCAATGTGTATGCTCAACAATAATCATTAAAATGTTTGCAGCGTACAAAAATGTCTCCTCTGACTATTTCTCTCATACTCCTCAAATATGAGTACATAGACTAGATATCTTTATTTTGATTTGGTCAACTGTAAGTGTTCTGAAAGCATTACTTTTGAAGAAATTTGGCTTATTTTTCTAAGTTTAAGAAAATTAGAAATTGGGGTATAAGAGCAAATAAGTGACCTGTTCATTAGCTTGTCTGTTGGCTAAGCCAGGGCGTTCAGAGTTTCGCAGTGTAGCTTTCTGAGAACTAGCTTGGCAGATACCGAAGACACTGTGCAGCACTACAGCTGTTTTTCAGACACGATATGAATGATACTAAGTTTGCATATTGCATCAGAGTGAATGACTGTACCCCACAACATGCAATTGATTAAAGTTTTTTGAGGGAGCAATGGCTGTCTTGATTGAACTATGTATTGTAATTTTTTTGTGGTGGTCAGTGACTGCTTATAAAGATGAAGTAAATAAGATGTTACTACACTTTTACCAGAAGTGTCTTGAAACAATCAATAGCTTATAAGAAAAATGCATATTTTTCAGTCCCCTCCATGTAGCAGTCTTCAGCATGGGGTGTTTCCCATCTCCAGGTCAACTGCAGACAGACCAGATCTGTGCTCTGAGCCTGGGCTTGGGACTGCCTCTCAAAAAGAACCCCCCAGAATTCTAGGCCTCCAACCAGCACACATGCAGACTCTAGGACTCCCTTTTGGAGAAGAGCTTTCCCAGGATTTTTAAGAGGTTTTTTTTGTTTTTGTTTTTACTATTTCCTCATTGGTTTAGAGGGCTTCTTCCTCAAACCTAACGAGGAGACTAACAAATTTATTACCAAGTGTGAGGTCAGTCTAATGAGACATTCATTTAATAGCAGGATACCAATGGAGGAAAAATAACTTTTGAAGTGGTAATGAGAGTGGCCCATTTCAGACAGTTGACAAGAAGGTGTGAGTAACAGTAGGGGGAAATTAGTATTGGGGAAATTAGGTTTAGGTTTTGTAATGACCCAACCACTTCCAGTCTTTATTTAGGTCTAATCTGATGGTGTCCAGTTTGCAAATTAATTCCAGTTATGCAGTCAGGTCCAGAAAGACAATTTTTTTAAGGAGGGTGTGAAGAACAACCCCTCTCCTTCCCCCGCCTTTCCTCTCAGAAATGACAGACAGACAGCAGACCACAGGAACCCAGCTCCCAGCTGGCGTGTGGGCAAGTTCCATGCCAAGATGGTTGAGCAGGCCCCACTGTTGTACTGAGGCAGTTCAGCAGGCCTCCTGGAAGCTCCTTTCACCAAGTCCAGGGCAAAAATCAGTGGCATGGAGACAGGAGTAAGTAAGTAAGGGTCAGACTGCCTGACAGGGAGGGTGCTAGAATGAAAATTTTATAAAGCTGATTGTACTTTTACCATAACCAAATGGATGTCTGGTGTAAGAACCAATGGGACCTACCTTAAATATGATAGTCTAAAAGGGAATGAAGATGGATAGTTTAAATATGGAGGTTTTCACCGCTCAATACCAGTCTGAACCTAGTTTACAGTAGCAGGTGATTAGAAAATGAAAGTAATTACCAATTGAGTTCTTTAGTGACTTTTGTGAAAGATGACAGACAGTTGTCCATGTCACAGTATTTCACTTAAAGATCAGTCATTGAGCTCTCTTCTACTGCTCCTAAAGATTTTTAGATTAGTTTGGGTACATTTGGTCGGTATTAGGAAACTTACAGATCTGAGGCACCTCTTCTGTAGATTTTACTCAAGACTTGGACAAGCAGTGAATATACTGCAAAAAACACCTAATGGTATGCTGAGGGTTGGGGGAAGAAAAGCTGTGGTGATTGTGATCCCATTACTAACAATTTTGTGGGCTTCCCCAGCTGGCAGTTGTGAAAGAATACTGATATTACAAACAAGAAATTGATGTGAAAAGGAGAACCTTTATTTTCAAGTTTATAAGCAAAATACTAAAACATTACACTAAGAAAATTAAACTACTAAAGTAGCAACTTCCTTTTGAGTATGATAAAGAACAATTAACCTTTTATTAACATAACAGAATTAAGTGTCCAAATCGTTTAGTTACAATTTCCATAGTATTCAGTAACCTTTATTACAGCCATCACTGTAGTATTTGAGTGAACACAAACTTTACACTCGGTTCTATACAAAAGCATATAGGATAAACCTGTCCTTGTGAAGACTGGACCTAGTAGAAGATTGGTCATATCGGTACAGAAGTTAAAGAGCTTAAGATACATACTTATGAAAACAAATTTGAATGATAATATGGTATAAAGTATTAAAGCAAGAACTGAAACAACTTGGAATTATACTAATATTTTCTAATTCATCTTCTCCATCTCTATAGCCCTTTTTTTTTGGAATGAATGAGGTGAGGCCTGGTCCATACATAAAACTTAAGTTGCCCTAGCTACATCACTCAGGGCTGTGAAAAATATCATACCCTGTGCAATATAGTTAAGTCTAAACTTCAGTGTAGACACAACTAGGTCCCGCCTCTCAAGTAGGTGGATTTACTACTGCAGCTGAAAAACCCTTTCGGTTGCTGTAGTAAATGTCTACAGTACAACAGCGTAGCTACAGCTGTGCTGCTGTAGCGCTTGTAATGTAATGTATAGCCACAGACATACAAGGCTTCATGAATATTTTTCCCCTAACAGAATTACAAATACTAAAACAAAATGGCTACTTTTTAGAAAGACAAGTGCTGTGTCAACTGACATTTGCCTCTTTGAAAAAGTTCCTGTTGGTCCCTCCCCCTCCCAATTTTTACCTTTACATTGACATGGCATATTTTGTTCAGGGGTTGGAGGAGAAAGAAAGAGGGAATATGCATTAGATTTCTTTGCTTCAATATGTTCCAGCAAGTTGAAAATACTGCAAGATTTCACCTTAGGAAGTCTCAGAAAATAGCTGTAGGGATGTTGTGGGGTTTTCAGAATACATTCCTTTGTAAAATACATTCCTCAGTAGGCTTGTTTCTTTCTAGCTTTCTGCCATTTTGTCAAGAACAAATAGAGGTGCAAGAATTCTATTCTTGTTGGTTTCCACGATGCAGCCATTTAACACCATTTCATCCAAAATTATGTGCACTCTATCCAAGTTGAACATTATCTAGGAACATTTCAAGTTAAGTAATTTTTATTTACAAGTATTGAACAGTGAAGACTCATTCAGAGGAAAATCTTACCTGCCTTTGTCTTAAGCATTTCATGTTCTCAACCCTCTTCTCTGATTAAAACTTACAAGTGTGGGTATTTGTAAATTTGCACCTTGAGATTAGGTTAAATTTATTTTAGTAGCAATAATACCCATGTCAGACGTAATGTGTTTCACCTTTTTATTGTGTTAGTCACATGTCGAAGTGTCAGTGGGAACCGATAACTGCAGTTGTCTCTCTGTATTAGAGAAGATGAGGCACAGACAGCGTAACTTAATTTGAACAATTACTATCTGGACAAAGTTTTTAGTATAGGCTTGTCTGAGTTCACTGCCAGTTGATGGATTTTACGGAAAGAATAGTTTCTGCTTACCATAGATACAAAATGCAATCAGTAAGATACCACAAACTTGAATGTGACTATGAATAATGCTAAGGATATGTCTACATTGCACCTGGGAGAGTGCCTCCCAGCTAGTGCAGACAGACACACTAGCTGTTCTTGAGTTACCATAGCGGTTGCAGTGTGGATGTTGCAGTATGGGTGGCGGCCCAGGCTAGCCATCTGAATACATAACGTCCACGTGGCTAGTTTGTGTGCTAGTAGAACTAGCGCAGGAGGGCTGCCCGGGCTGGGAGACATGCTCTCAGCTGCAGTGGAGACAGACCCTAAAAGCACATCTATGTACACTGCATTTCCGTTAAACAAGATAATTCTTAGTCTGTTCACGTCTGACTGATACCAGCATTTTCAAGGCTGACCATTTTGGTGTTTTTTCCCCCCCTCCCTAACATCACTTATTTGGTGTAATGGAAAAATCAAGTTTCAAACTTGTCTAGTTTTATAAGCTGATATGCTAATAGTCTATTGTAATTTACACAGAGGATAGCTAAGAGTGATTTCATTAATTTACACTCCTTTGTTAAGGAATAGAATTTAATAAAGGTTTCATTTTTAAAATGATTTTAAATGTACTTAGCGCCTTCAAGATTTGCCTAGTGAAATGAGGCAGCTGAAAGGCAAAAATCTAAAGCTATACAAATGTGTGTCCTTTTGCGCTATATGAAACTCCTCCATTAACGTATCTTAACTGCTTTGGCAAATAAATGACAAGTTTTATACCAGCAAAAATATGTTCTATACACACTAGTATTCATTGAACAAATGTGATGTGGGAAAAGTGGGGCTAAGTAAAACATGTCCTGCTTTTCCTATTTATCTCTATTCTATTAAATAGAAATTGACATAAAAAACGACTAGGTATCATGGCTGTCTTCCTGATTCAGTACAATCTACAGGGGAAGAAGTTAAACCTCTCTTCTGCCTTGTCCCCACCTGTTGCTGCTTTTCAGTCTTTCCCTCTGCTCTACAGATCAATCATAGTTTCAGCTTCACTCCTTGTAGTTCTTGGCTGTATGTTGGAGATTCTGTTTATTGCAGTGGAGCCAGAAAGAAACTTCACATTCCAATTTGCAAACACATTTTTCAACAGTTTGGAGATGGTGGGGTTTGTTTTTTTGGTTTTTTGGACCTTCACTACTGCCTCCCAGAACTTGCTTGCCACGAATGTTATTTGATAGTATGGCATGAGCTCAGAAAGACAGATGGTCAGATTTTGTTCTATTACTCTGCATTCACGCTAGTGGAACTCCACTGTCAGAGTACTCGTTAGGCCCAAGTTTTCAAAGCTACTTTGGGTATGTCTATACTAAAAATGCTACAGCAGCACAGCTGTAGTGCTTCAGTGTAGACACTCGACAGTGATTGGAGGAATTCTGCTGCTGCTGAAGTTAATTCACCTCCCCTAGAGGCAGTAGCGAGGGCGATGGAAGAATTCTTCTGTCAACCTGGCACTGCTTACACTGGGGATTAGATTGGCATAGTGACGTCTCTCAGGGGTGTGGATTTTTCACACCCCCACAGCGATGTAGCTATGCCTATGTCCAGTGTGGACCAGGAGAGCGTGGATCAGCATTCATGTCACACTCCCCGACAGTACCAGTTCCACGCCGGGGAAGCTAATGATCCAAGCAGACAAAATTTGGTGATGAATCCTGGTTATGTGCCACCTGAGGCATGTTGCGCATATGCTAAGAAATATAGACCAGCCCTAAGTAACTTAGGTCTTGCAGTGTGAGTGGAGCAATGCTTACACGTCTTTAAAATCTGGGCATCTGCATTTACTTTAGCCTATGCAGCTTGCAGGCTACAGGCGTTGTAGTTGGCTCTCCATATTATACTTTTCAAACACATCTCACTATCTTGCAAGGAATATTTTAGTGTGGATACAGTTACAGCATGAGTACAATAATTTGAGAATTTATGGAAAATAGAATTAGCTATTAAGTTCCCATTCACCATCACTACTGTGATGCAATGCTGTACGTGTAGGAAGGAGGGCCTGTTAAATTCAGATATTAATCTACAGAGCTTTCATGAATAGTCCTAAAATGCCACTACAAGCTTTTTTAATTTTAGCTTTGTACCAAAGCCAGGCCATTTACACTGTCCGATAGAACTCTCATGGGAAAAGCCCATCCAATCTTTCTAAAATAGCACGACCCACACACACAGATCCTAGATCCTAAAATTTAACGGGGAAAAAATCCCAAGTGAAACCAGGTACAGGAAGGAGAACTCTCACTCTCTAGACCAGTTTCCCTGGATTACCCTCCCTGAAAAAGAGTGAGATCAGTGATTAATTTCTGAAAGTGTTTATATATCACCTGAGAAAAGTATCCATCCGTTTCCCAAACCCCAGGTGCCTTGTAGCAGTTCACTCACAGATAGCATATCATTAAAGAAGAATGCCACTTTTAAGTTTCAGGAGCATTTCAGCTTGTTTCAAAATTAATGGCATTGACTTTCCCTTTTAAGTTATCATTTTTAAAAACCTAAAACATACTTAATGGCTAGAGGCTCATTTTTGTTACAGGGAGTGAAGTGGTGTCACATCTTTCCACCTGTAACATGCTAGCCCCTCCCTGGCAACATTCCACAGCTACTCAGCCCTCATTCCGACAGCAGCTATCTCACCTGTAGCCTGAATTTGGCTAGCAGTTACCATTCCAGAGAGATTGCACACCTTGATTCTGGTAAGTCTCCAACCTTCCTTTGCAATTCTCCCCACCTCCTTTTCCCAGGCTGCTCTTGGCAAACATTCAGCTTTAGACAATGAGCAATCTTGGCTCATTTCTCCTTTCCTGCAAGTCTCACGATGCCCGTTCTCTGCTGTTACATCCTTCTGTGTACACACTTAGACATTTCATTCTGATTATACCCAGGCCACTGTGGGGACATCTGTCCATCATCTTCCTAGTTCTTCTACACCAGCTGCCCCCCTCCTGCTTGGCAAGAAACCCACACCACAGGGTGTAAATCATCCAACCTGTGGATGAATCCTGCGTGGAGAGTAGAAGAAAGTAAATCTACCAGATCAACTAGTGTGGGGAAAGGCTGGGCAAGGTGTGTACTTTGACATCTAAATCCAGCTTAGGCTTTACTAAAGGGCCACTTCCAGTGAGGTTCCTGATCTATTGCACATAAAGAAGGTCTGTGTAAAAGCCTTGTATTATTAAGATTGCAGCTATGCAGTCAAAGACTTAAAAAACCTGGGGGGAAGGGGAAATTTTGTTAATTTGAACATATAAGTAAAGCGCTCTGATTTCAATGGAAGTTAGGAGCCTAAATACCTTTGGGGATCTGGGCCATAATGTGCTGATCTGAAACACTCATAATAAGTGATAGGTCGGTATATGTGCTGAGCTCCATGTACCCTAGCCTGCAGGGGTGGCGAGTTGTATGGGCCCGTGGTTCCTGGCTTCCAGCAAATTCAGGCCCCTGGGGGCCCGGCTCCACCAATGTTTGGGGCTGGGTCTCTCCCCCAGCCTCGCCTGTCACCCCTGCACGGCTCCCCCAGAGCATCCCCCAGCCCTACCTGCTGCCTCCGCTCGCCCCCTCCCCCGAGCGTCGCTGCCTGCCCTGGGCAGCGGATGGCTGTGCTCCCTCACTGGTTGCTGCTGGCAACAAGGGAGTGGCACTGGGGGCAGGCTCAGGAAGCTGCTGCGCCTGTCGGGGGAGGAGGTGCATGGCAGCCCCACCTTCCCGTGGCAGGTGACTCTGAGGGGGGGGGGGGGTGCTTATCCTGGCTGGACCTCCTGAGCAGCAGCTTGGGGGGGCTTGGGTGAGTGTCGTGCTGGGGAGGGCTCCCCCGGAGCTCGCTGCTGCCGGCAAGGAGAGGGCTGGGGGGAGTTCTCCTTGGCCCAGCCCTGGGGCAGCCTGCCTGCTGCACCCCAAATTCCTCATCCCTGGCCCAGCCCTGCACCCCCATCCTCTGTCCCAGCCCAGAGCTTGCACCCAGCACCCCCCAACCCTCCTGCACCCCGTCCCAGCCCAGAGCCCGCACCCAGGACCTAAACTCCCCCAGAAATCCCACATCCCTCCCGTGCCCAGAGCCTGCACCCCAAGCCCCCTCCCACACCCCCTCCCAGAGCCTTAGGCAGGGGTGTGTGTGTGGCGGGGGGGAGGGGTTGGGACTTGGACCTGTTCTGGGCACCACCGAAAATTATACAAATTTGTTGTCCCTGCTAGCCTGCATGTTGAAGAAAAGGCCATTCCAAGTATATAGATACATATTCAGGTTGGTCTCTAGGGGCTATACAGGGTGTGACTTGGAGAGCTGCCCCTACAGAGGAGCTACTATCTTCCTTTCTTCTTTGTGTACCTGGCATAAGCCCTATTAGTAAAACTGCACATAAATTAATCCCTTGTAAAAGTTACCTTGCAATAGTGGCACTTTCTAATCCTATTCATGAGTACTTATGGCACACATACTAAAATGAGGTAAGTACAATAAGTTATCTTGCTTTCCCTCTGCCCTCCTATCACTTTACCATGCAGCAACAGTGAAATAAGCAGATATGCTCGCCATCTGGCTTTGAATTCTGGCGCATC